TAATAGAGTTTATGTTGATCAAGTGCTGTGATGTCTACAGTAATCAATGAATCATCAAAGATTGCTTTGGAATATGCACTGCGTTGCGACTGTAGTACTAAGAAAACAGTTAAATTTTAAAAGCGCGGTTATAAGATCTAACAGATCTTCTTGTTTCAGTTTAAACTGCTATACACTTGCAGTAATTTATTGTAGTGTTTGCACAGACATCCTTAGTGTGGGAAACTGTCTTGTGACCAAACTAGTAGTATAGTGTGTGTGCTGTCGCTTTAAAATAAGGGTGTGTTTCAGTGTGACCGTGTATGTGTACTTTCCCTCAGGTAGCTTACTTCAGCTCTTCCCAGGATTGGAAGTACACTGCAAACATCACAAAGATTTCCTCTTTAAAAGATTGTTTTGTTTTTCGTTGCTTTCCAGGCAACTCCTATTCGTTGGGGGATCTGTGCACCCAAACAATGCAGTGAAGAGGATGTAACTTATGCTCTACAAGATATCTTTACAGGTACAATTATATCTGCAACACTGTCAAAAAGTTGTAACCATAGTAACAACCCTGGGCAATTTAGGATCATGTTAGCAATCGTTTATATTACTGTTTTCAGATGGTCACAACTTTACGGAATCACTACGTTGGGGTAGCAAAAATAGTAACCAAGCTTGTTCACTCAATTTGGCTGGATATTGGCCAAGTTATTTTTTGCTTGTTTCATGGACCATTATATGGTGGCTCACAACTGTCACGGCAAAGTACAATTCATCACTGCAAAACAAAATTCAAAACAACAAATTCAAATTACTCCTGTCAAACTACCAACATTCACAGCAAAAGCAACAAGAAGCTATTTCTCAGAAAGAAATGGTGTTTCGTTTCTGGAAAGGTATTCAAAGTCTGCGAAAGGCCAGGGTTTTGATATCTTCTGCATGAGAAGTCCTGGGGTGAGGGGGATATGTGCTAATGCACCGCTTAGCACCGCACTGATCTGCTCAGTTGCCAGAGCCTGGGGTTTTTTGTCCAGGTGAGGTTTAGTACTGAACCTACTGTAAAACAGAAAGGGCTAATTAATTTAAGTTGTTAACACATGTATCAGTTATGACAGTCAACGTGCTTTGAAATGTATTTACTTGTGATACTTCACTTTGACTCTGCCCAAGGGGAGGGAGTTGCTCCCTTGTATCGGCTATATGGGTATGTCCAGTGTCAGAGGGACATGTTTTTTTAAGACATTTTAGTCAGAAGTAGAGTATCGATTTTGGTCATTTTGGTCTCAAACTGGGTATGGTTTTTGCACTCTAGTCTTAGGTAGTACGTTTTTTAGAAGAAGCTATTTTTCATCATTATCGATAAGACCAGCAACTAAAGCCATTCACACTACCTTTAACGTCATTCTGAAGTAGAGAACTACAGCAGGTCTGAACGAACAGGGTATTAATTTAAGGGTCAAGCCATAAATAAGTTAGAAAAATCGCAGACTTTGGTCTTAAATAGGGTAAGTGCTTTGGGAAGCAGGCCGCACACACCTGCCAAATTTTTCAGAAATTCAAAGTATTGTGTGTGAGGTTAAATAAAGCTAGGAGGCAAAAGCATTTCACACATAATTTTTCCATTTCTGTGCCGGGAAGTCCTTGATTTGAATGGATGCGACACTCTACGTTTCGTTGTCAGTGANAGCACAAGCAGAAATGCTCATGGCAAAACCAAAAAATGGGGGTCAGCAGTTTTTGATCAGCAGTCATCCAAGTAGGTGGTGCAACACTACACAATCAACACAACATGGATTTTCACGCTTCTTTTTGGTTTCTTAATGTGTGTACTGGTACTTAAATGTGTGTTTTGCTCAAATTGTGGATTTGCTGTTAAGGGTACAGACAATTTTTGCTGTAGTTGGGGAAAAGGTATTTTAATTCAGATAATATTGCATAATTTTTGTGTCATCCGCATGCCTTTGTGGGCATTGAAGAGTTTCCTCTGATTTGCTTTAATTCTGAATAAGAATATATAAGCTGTACTGAATTGTCTTTTTTTGTAATGGTACAGGAGGACAATGTGGGCAAAACTGCAGAATACCCTGCACCTCATTGAATTATAATTCAAGTCTACAACATCATAAAACATGAAGTACTTAGCTTATCAACCGATTAAAGCATGTGTGAAAATTGAGAAATCCTCACTGAGGGTTTCGACAAAACAATGACCCCCTACTGAACCCCCTATAAAATCATCGGGAAAAAGAAAATCTTAAGAAGTCCAGAACTATCAATGGGACAGATTCAGGTTCACAAATAGATTTAGCTTACGTGAAATGTCCAAGATGACAGACGCGTTGCAGATTTGTGAAAATCCACGTCATGTTGATCGTTTAGTGTTGTACATGGACAACCACTGACAGAAAACCTCTGACTGCCATTTGGTTTTGCTGTGAGCGATTTGTTTTTGTTGTGAGGGTTTCTGCTCTTGCTGTTTTTGTTTTTGTTGTGAATGTTTTGATCTAGTTTGCCAGGAGAAATTTGAATTTGTTGTCTCAAATTTTATTTTGCCATGATGAATTTTATTTTGCCGTGAGAGTGGTGGGCTACCATACCATTTTGTCCAGCCATCTTGACTGAACAATCTTGGTCAGTAAAGGATTTATTATATGGTATAGAAAACCAGCAGGTAATCCCAAACAGGCAAGATAGCCCTACTTTGCTTGCTTAGGTTGCGCATCACGGCTCAAGATTTAGTATATCTAGCTTGCTGGCAAAGTTAGTTGATTTTGTCACAGTAGGAAAATTTTGCTTTCATTTTATTCGTGTACCTGATAGCATAGCTGATTGCGTGAATGCCAATGTCAGCGCATGCATGGCGTGTAAACCATGCCTTGTGTGATGCACAGAATGTCTGCGCACTGAAAATAGTAGGACCGTCCTTAAAAGATTCCTATAGATTGCCAGAAACTCATTGCATGCTGACATCACTTTGATGTCAATGCTGTGTGATTAGGTTTTTTGCTATAGTGGTACTCACTGGTCTTCTCAAAGCAAAATGATCTAAAAAAGAACCACACTTCTGCCTGGGCCAGTTTCGACAAAGGATGGGTCACTCTATCCACCCGAATAATTCCTAACCCTGATTGAATAATAATTTACCCTACGATAGGGATCCACTTTTTGAACAACTGGGCCAACTACTCACGTTTCTTTTACAATTACAGTTTGTGGTTGAAGCTGAAAACAAAGAAGAAAACAACAATTTTTTTTCCATATTGAATTGTTTTACTGGATATTGCTGAAGTTTTTTATTTCTGTTGTCGTTCTCAATATCAATGATCCAGTTTATGTATTCTGTGTTCCGGATTCCAGGATTCCAGTTCTAGATTCCAGATTCCGAATTCTGGCTCTGGGTTCTAGATTCTGGATTCTGGATTCCGTGTTTTAGGGTTGCCCAACATAAACACAATCATTAAATATCCAGAACAAATATTTTGTTAAATACCCAGGCACATTATTTCTGAATCATTGCATCTATCTTCATCAGGATTGAATAAAGAATATAATCAAACACTGGCAAGGCTAATCCCAGAACCAGTCGCTTTTGCAGCAAAAGATTCCCACTCTAAACCTGTTTTCTGTAACAAGAAGTCAGAATACACAGCAGGAGTAATCATGACTTTGTAAGTACAATTTCTCGGAATAACTCAATGTCTTGTTTAATGCATTCATGAACTCTTTGTAAAATGTTTGATCAAAGATGACTGGAGTATAAGGGTTAATTTGTGGTTACAGTTTTTATGAAAGCCTCACTGTCTTGTAAATTATGATCTTTAGACACTTACTGTATCTTTGTATGCTCCTTTTCCTTATGTTTCATTGAAAAATACTTAAGCCTACTAACTTAACAGTGAACCAGGTGAGAAAATATTAATAGTTTCAGGGCTCAAAGTTTATTTTTGGCTTTGGGAACACTTGTGCGACCAGGTGTAAATTTTTAGGTGCACTGCCGAAATTTTAGGCACAGAGTTAAAAATTTTAGGTGCACAGCTTCAAATACATGGAGCACCTACTTGAAAAGAATACTTAACGCTCCAAAAACAGTGACTCAGGCTTCGTGTTGCAATATGGGCCTATTCTAGCAGTATTGAACACAACGAAGAAAAGAATCAGGATATTTCACACAAGGGTTATACTTAGATATTAACTACTGACGTCGCTCCGTTGAGTATCCTCACTATCCAGTTGCTTGTTGTTTGCCTCCCTTTGAAATTCCGTTCACGAAGATTCTTGATTTATTCAACATCTGGGTATTCTTGAGAACTAGCACGAACTTTGCTCATTTGGCTAGCTTTCAAGCCATAGAACTTGTGGACTGGCCCATTCCGAAAACACTGGACATTTTTGTATGTCAGACAGGCGAAAACAAAGCTTTCTTTACAAAACGCAGCACTCTGTAACTGTTGTTGGCGAAGAACGAGCACACGATTTAATTCTCGTCCCCAGTTTTCACGCTTTCCGCTAGATCATCGATTGCGCAAGAAGCATGTGCTTCATTCCTTCATTTGCATGTGTCAGCGGAGTTATTTACAACACAGAACGTGGGGAAGAAATGAACGTTCTAGTTCGGAGAATCCCCTGGGAAATTGGGCTTAAAGATGACGAATAGAACACACACCAAAGGAAAAAGGTGCAACTTTATTATTTGACGCCTGGTTGTGTTATATCTATGTTTATATTTATATTTATCAATCTGAGTACGTTAGTATGGTCAGGTGAGTAAGCACTAGAGAAGTCGCACTGTACTTTGGCTTTTAAGGTGCAGTGGTGCGACCACACATGATTTTTTAGACGCACAGCCAAAAATCTAGTTGCATATGCGACCAGTTGGTTGTTAACTTTGAGCCCTGAGTTTTGAGGTCCTATTTTATGGATCGTCAGTACAATTGCATCACTGACACTGCAGCTGTCCAGTGCTGTAATTTCCTTAATTTACTGCAGTATAATATTTCTCTGCACAAAGTTGTGAACTTTTCTATATATACAGTACATCTGTTTGAAAGAAACTTTTAAAGGAAGAAACCCCCCATATTGTTTTTATTATCAATTTGCACAGGATACTGTGTGGTTTAATCCTATTCCTCTGCCTTGTTGGGACGATTATCGACATTGTTGTGAACTTTAGAAAGTCACACTCCTCACCTGTGAACAAAAGTGATGGATTCATGCCAATCAGAAATGTTTCCATAGTAGCTGATCACAACCAGGCCTCTCACGTCCAAAATCCATTGGCAAAGAGTGATCCTGACAGTGACAAGACAAATCTACTCCAATCCTCCCATGACGTGAACTTTAGTGCAAGTATAACTTTGTCAAACTTTCACCAGGAGCCAGCTAGACCAAGTGAGTGTGATTTGGATCTTGAACATAATTGATTTGGCTCTAAAGGGTCTTAACTGTCACATGATTGGTTAGGTAATTTCAGCACTGACTGCTCATAGAATCATTGAAATATTATGACAAAAAAAAAATAGAAAAACTCAAAAGAAACAGACACTTGGAAAAACAGAGGCATGGATGGGCAAAATTGGAGTTCATGTATACTTAAAAAAATTGGTCCAACTTTTTTCAAGTTTATATTAATTTGTTTGAAAGTGTCATTTATAGTGCTGGAAAAGCATTCCAGTTTGTTATGTGGATGTGATTTTGCAAATAGAAGACTGTATAGAACACATAGGTTATATGTTAATATGAAAATATAACTAGTTTAAGAATTACCTAACCTTACCTCACCTGAGTGACCATGCCCCTTAACATACTGGAAATTTTATTTTGGAATTTTAGAATTTTAGCCCAGGCTGTTATAAGTTGGCTGAGGCAAAATAACATCTCTAGTTAAACAAATGGTGGGATGTAATCCTTACTAACATTGTTGTCTTGTTCATCTTTTGATACAGATGTGGTGGTACAATTCTTTTTGTGTTTCTCTTTAATTCAAAACACGAGGCTCATTATGGATACCAAAGTTCCTTCAACTGCCATAACCTCCATCAATGGTATGAGAGTGCTAAGCATGTGGTGGGTCATCCTGGGACATACGTACTCTATACAAACAATGGCAACACCACTCAGTAAGTACTCACTTATTGTTACTTTGTAAATCACAGCTGTCAACTAGGGCAGATCTGTGGAGATAGGGTGTGGTTGAACACTAAACTAATACTAAAGACAGGAAAAGACAAGTACATTAGAGTCTTATTTCTCACTACAATTTTTCTTCTCTTCACCATAGGTAATTTGCTGTTAGCCTATGACATTATTCACCGTTTTACATTTCAAACTGTTGGCAATGCAACCTTTTCAGTCGACAGTTTCTTTTTCCTAAGGTGGGTGCTGTACTGTTTATCATTGTGCATTTAAGATGATTTCCAGTCTGTACTGCACAGTCTCAGCACCCTGATATTAATGTTTATAAACATTATAAATCTCACTCAATGGAATGCGAATCGATGTTATTCATTACGAGCCACATAGCTTATCTTTAAGGTCTTTCAAATTCTTTTCCCAACAGCTTCATTGATTTTTACAGTGCGAAGTCGTTTCGACCACTTTGCATCCACAATGGCGGATGTTTTGAAACTTTGAATTTACTTCATTTAGGTAGTTGTAAAATGTTTACATTTTGTGATGTCCTACATGAAACAAAACAAAAAAATGCAAAGAAACTCTCAAGAGTGCGCAGTACAGACTGGAAATCATCTGTAACATGCGTAAGCATATAATGAGATATGCATGTAACCCTAATTAGCTAATTAGCCCTACAGTTGATTGAGGCTCATATCTTTTTACATGAAACAAATATTACTTGTGATGTTTGCTTATCAGTAACAGTGCTGCTGTAAATTGTAGTGTGTAATAACCCAATCCTTAGTCTGACCTCCTACTGCATCCAATTTGTGTTACTATTCTGCTTATGTTGTTCAAATCTTCTGATGTTCTGGCATTAAATTTTATCAACAGTGGTCTCTTAGTTGCTTATTTGTCACTGCGTCGTATGGAGAAGAAAAATGGACAACTTCCGCTCTTCAAGTACTATTTTCATCGTTTTTGGAGGTACATGTAGATTTTTCCTGTTTATGATGTTTTGCCCCTATACAAAGGTTTAATTTAATCTTTGTTAATAGATTACTCGAAACAAAGAAAAGCACCCTTCACTACACAGACTTCACTATAGTCTTCTTGATTGTTTTTCATTTGCATATACTGGCACTCTCCTCAAGTAATAACTTGCATGTTTACCTTTTCTTTGGTTGGAACAATGCTGCCAAATTGACTAAAAGAACTTCTGCAATCAGTCATTGCATACCACTTACTATAGCACACCACATAATTGTAATGGAAAAGATTAAAACGCAAAGGCTAGGATCGGATATCCTTATTATATACACTATTCTAAGAAGCATTTGAATACACATTGCTAATCAAACTCTGACTCAATTACATAATTTTTCTCTTCTTGTTAAACAGGTTAACCCCAACTTACATGTTTGTTTTGCTGTTTTTTCACACAATGACGGGGTTTCTTGGTGAGGGCCCTTTTTGGTATGAAGTGCAAACTGAAACACAGTGTAGTAAATACTGGTGGACAAATCTGCTGTATATCAACAATTTTTATCCCACTTCTTTTGCAGCATCGGTGAGTTTTTTGAAGTAAAAATTATAATAATAATTGCAAGATTAATTTAATTAATGCTCTCAGACAAATGTTGTTTGATCACAAAAAAAGCAGAAGTGGGAGCAGAAAGAATTAACTGAGTTACGTGAGGCAAGAGAATTTTACAAAAGATTTTAGCATGTGGAGTGAGGATCAACATAGAAAATACTGAAAGACAGAAAACAATGTGTCTAAAATTCTAACCTGTGTATATACCGTCGAACCCCTGGTTGTGACCACGTCTTGTAAGTGACTACCTCTCCTCAGCAACCAGTTTTCCAAAGTACCAAAAGTTTCCCAGTCAAATCACTATATTTGGAACCTCTTTTAAGCAACCACCTCTCGTAAGCAACCGTGACCACTTTTAGAGCTAATTTTAAGTTTGAAATTTTCTTTTGTTTTTAACCTCCTGTAAGCGACCACTTGATAGAAAATAGAGCAGAAATTGGATACTAAGGTGTTGTAATATCACATTCCTTGGTAGTGCAAGAGATGGAAATTTCTCATTGGGAAGTACCGGATTTTATTTTTTGAAATTGACTTTTTACATGAATATAACATTTAAAATCTGAAGAAAAATGTACATACACTGTATTCTATCAGTCTTAAAAGAGACGTCCTTTTAAAAATGTCTTAACTGATTTACTGTTCACTCAAGAACAGCACGTAAATCACCAGCACTATAATAGGGCTGTCAAATTTAAAGCTAGCAATCCTATCCTTATTAGTTGATTTTCAGTTCAAGCCCCTAATGTTTAGACAACCATGACATTAGATTCAATTTGTAACTATCATGAGACTTGTTCCGTTTGCCTTACAAGGTAGTTTAGCAGAGTGATACTCCAAATAAATACTTTGGAAAGCTTCAATATTTTTATGGCTACAAAAAGTTATTACATGGGTTAGATGGGCATTGGCACAGGGAGTAAGTCTCTGCAGTTATCATAAGCTAATGAGGCACAATTTTGACCCAATATAGTCTAAGATCTCATAAGCGACAACCTCCCATAAGCAACCACCTAGGCTTGACATTTTGGGTGGTCGCTTACTGGAGGTTCGACCGTCTGTCTGTTGTATATTTACTAACTTGTGTGTTCTACTGTATATTTGCTCTGTAGTGTATGGGTTGGGCGTGGTACCTAGCTAATGATATGCAGTTCTACATCATTGCTCCTGCCATCCTCTTCACAGCATACAGGTATAACAGGGTGGTAGTGGAGGGAGCAGCATTGCTGTCTTATTTTGACTATTTACTTTATTGTGTATGACTATTTACTTTAGTGTGTATTTAGTCTACCAAACTTGTAGCTATATGTGCGATAGACCATGACATGACTGATAACATCTATACCAACTTTTGATTAGGCAGATTATCAAGCATTTCATAATAGCCTACAAGCATCAATGTCTGCTTTCTTATTGGCTAAGAACACATCAGTTTACCCTAAACTTAGTCAGAGTAGAAATGGTGTGTTTGTGCAAGTCGTAATCCTTCCCCTGACTCATGTCCCAGCTACACGTCCCAGCTACATGACCCCTAATGTGTACAGTTTATGGATATGTCGTTGCTACATGTTGCGGCAACATGTCCATGTGACATGTCCCCTCGTGTAAGGCCATCTTAATATTCACTTGTTTGTTACTCTGACCTATTTTTTGTCTCTAGATTTCGCCTGCCAGGACTACTTGCAATTACTGGTGTGTTGGCTGGTATCAGTTTTATCACAACAGCTGTCCTCTATGCTCATTATGACCTCGATGCTGTATCTCTAGCGAATCAGTAAGAAACATTGTTTTTTATCTTTTAAAGGGCCCATAACCTAATTTGTTTTACTTTCTAACTTGAAAGCACACATCACCAATACAAATTCTACAAGAAAACAAAATGTTTTTCATGAACTATTGCTGATGATCAAGAATTAGCTCAAAATCTCACAATGCAAAACATGTGATGTTGTGTGACATAGATAAAGGTGAGAGAACAAGCAGAAAAAAGAAGCAGTATTGATAAACAAATTCTCAAACTTTGTACATTTGATAATCATGTTACGCGTATAAATGTACAAACATGCAATAAAAGATGGGGTCACCATGCTCTTTTTTTTAACAAAATTATATGGATGGCCGTTTTTGGTAACTATTATTTGACCCTATAGGTGTTTCTTGGGAACTCAAGTAATCCTAGAGGGAACTGTAATTTCTGAAAAAAAAAATTCATGTCGCATTTAAATAATGAGGCCAATCAACAAAATAGACTTTGATCTTACATTGAAAGCTATTTTAGTTGAAAAGCAATTAAGAAAAAGCAAATTTAACAGCTCGCTGTAATTCCTAAAGTCGTTTTCTTTACAGCATAGAAATAGAAATATCTCAAAGCAGAATTTTTTACTAAAGTTAGTTGAAATGTTGGGAGTTTTCCTTGTTAAAATATTTTCAACCTTTTCTTGCATGGTAAATATTAACCCGAAACAAGAATTGTGAACTTAGGAATTATGTTTACCACAGAAGATAGATATAGAAAACAGTTTAGAATCTTATCCTAACTGTAAACTTTTTCCTTTTTCTGGGGTCTTAAGACCTCAGCTTGTTCATTGCCAGTTATGTTTTTTT